CGTGATCTTTAGGGAAGGGATGGAAAAAAGTCGATCGTAAAAATGTTTCAGTCGTTGCATCGTTGACATCCGTATAAGTATCGATGGATGCTGATCGAGGTATGCACGGATAGAGATGCTCATGTGCTTACGTGAAAAATAGATAATAAAATTGTTATCTAGATGTATTCCTAAATCTCACAAGAGTTAGAGAAGAGAAATGCAAAGCCGTTTAAAAAACATATTACACATATATTTGTGAAATATAGTGCGCTACTAATTGCTGAGTGTTTAAAATAATTAATTAAGAAATATTCCAAGTAGAACAACAGATCGCGATAATACCATTTTGACGTTAAGATGAATCATGAATCACTAATCAAAAAGTGACTTTTAATAATTATTTCAGAACCATTTCGACGCCATATTGATGTCATAATGTAGATTTTATGTTCAGTAGACTGTTCTGCTTGGAATGTATCCTTTCTTGTAATTGTATATTTTGGAAGCAAAATTATATTGTAAATCGCGTCGATGTTCTTTTGCGCCAATATAATTTTAGCACAATGACAGTATCGAATAATGATCAAATTCGATTCTTCATTCGTTAATTTTTGAAGCAAAATTCGATCTGCATAGACTTGAATTTCGCGATCGGATGGAATCGATTCAATTTGAGCCTTGTCGGCATCTGGCCCGATCCGTTACAAAATCCTAAACAAAAGAGCGGACTCTCCCGATGTCGCTTTATGCTGGCCAGTTTCTTCATGCTGGGCTTTGTGTGTATACCACAATCGGCGAATTTAGTATTCATTTGGGGTAACGTGGATATGATGACCGAAAACCTGGCGACCGCTAATATCCCAGTCGCGAATTCTTTCATGAAAGCATTCACCATCTGGCGTAAAAGGAAAGGTACAAAATACAAAGAACGTTAGAAATAGCAAAAAAATTAAAACTTTTTGAATAATAGAATTGTCTCTTATAAATTTAACGTTTTAAAATTTTAATTTTTATGAATATTAATCAGCTATTTAACAATTACATCTAATTTCTATGTTTACAAAACAGCGACATAATGGTAGTAACAAATAATTTATTATTATTTTTCTATTATCTATATTTTTAATTATTTTGTAATCGTTTCGTACAGCAATTTCGTTTCGGCATTTTGCGTGATTATGTCAAATAAAGATATAATTCAGCAAAATGCCAAATTGTCAGCAAAATATCTAGTGATAAAATAAAATTAGACCGGCTTACATAAATTTTTATTCAAAAATTCAAAAAGACAATATTTGTTTAAAGTTTTGAAGCTGCTGGTCAACTTCTTCTATCAAGATTGGTATACATCAAAAACGTCTGACGAAAGAACAATTATGCTGAAGAATGCTAAACTTGTGAGAAAGATATCCATATGGTGCACAATATTAACCCAGACCTTACTAATCATTTATATCGTTCTAAAGATTTCGGCGATCATATTTTCACCTGGTGACTCGGCTCGTCCCATGATTTATACAGCCTATTTTCCTTTCGACGCTACCAAAAGCCCAATTTTTGAATTGATTTGTGCATGCCAGATTTTATCTGCTTTTAGCGGAACGGTTGCTTATACCGGTAGCGACAGTTTCATTTCCATGCTAGTGATCCATGTCTGCGGCCAATTCGAAAACTTGCGCGAGAAGCTCAAAAATCTCGTTAACGATCCGAATGGAGTAAAAACGTCTCAAGAGTTCAAGAGTGAACTGAGACAAATTGTAATGAGACATGAACATTTAAACTGGTTTGTATAATTCATAGAAAGAAAAAACTTTTATATATTTTCTGCTATAGAACGTAAGATTGCCTCATATGAAATAAGTTCAAAATACATTTTTTTATATCTGCAGCAGATAATTGTTTAATATTAAAGTTATTAGAGCAGTCAAATAAAATGTAGCGGATAAAAAATTCAAATATGTATGAATATATATTCGAAATGAACTAATATCTTATCATTTGCCAGTTGGCAAAACACTTTTTCTATGTGAAATCAGACGAGGCCTGTTTGTAAAATTCCTTGGGCTTATATGATCAAACTCACTTACAAACAGTTTCATGCCATGCTGCGTCCAACGGAAAATTTGGCCTGTCAGATTTTCCATCAGTACTCGATTCTGTAACTTCTAATGAAACAGTTCGATATCATTATGTTGTCGTTACACTTTTTCACTATGTATAATATCTGCGCAACGACAATATAAAAATCGACACTGTCGTTAAAAATTACAGACTCGGGATACAGGTCTCCAAAGATATGGAAATTGCATAGCGTCTACAGTTCCCGGAGAAATATTGGAGCTCCCGACCTACAACCCAAACTTGTCGCCATGCAATTTCCACATCTTTGGAAATTCAAAGAAGAATCTAAAAAGCAGGCAATTTCCGTCGGGTGCAACAGTGCAGGAAACTGTTGCGAATATAATAGGTATAATTCCAGCCCAAGAGTTTTATGAACACGGCATCCGTCGTCTAGTTTCACAATAGAAGAAGTGCCAATCACAATGATTACTACAATAACGTACAAGCTGATTTCATTGTCTAAATTTTTCATCCGATATATTTCATTTGATTGCTCTAATAATTTCAAAATTAATTATTTAAGTATTAATAGATTTATTTTCAAATTTTTTTCTCTGTTTATAAAATTATATAAAATACACATAATAAATTTTTAAGTTTAATTTATTAAAATCAATTAAATTCAACTGTAAAAATAATTATCTGCCATGTCTTCGTGCCATGTCACCGAATAAAAAACATTTGGTAAAAAAGGTTTATATAATATTTTGTCTAATGTAAAATAATCTACTTAACATCAAATTGTTTATGCAAATGTAATTTGCAAAATTCTATGTATATTTATGTCATAATTCAGTATAAATCGATAAAAATGAAAATCATATATGCCAAGGTTTGCAAAAACAATTGAGGATTCCTTCAACATGATAATGCTAATACAGATGCTTTCTTGTACTGTTCAATTATGCTTTCAAGGGTTCCAGGTATTTAGGGTGAGTAGCATGGAAAACAGCATTTTATCAAATATTATTCACGCATTTATTTCCGTTCTAATCAATTAAAAATGTAATATTAACATTTTGTTAATATTACATGTTGTTTAACATTACATTTGTTTGTGTCACGTTACTGCGCATAAATCCTTCCAATTAATTCAGAAAATATAAAAATGTGTGTAATAAAAATCAGAAATATTTTAGATATTAATAAACAAAGAAGAAAACGAATCGATAACCTTCCAATTAATTTTTCTGAGCATTTTCGTAGGATTTGTTCTAGTTCACTTGTATATTTATTGTTACGTCGGTGAAATGCTGCTTGTTCAAGTAAGATTCATAAATATATGTGCATAATGTGCTTTCACACGTATTTTCTTCAGAAGTGCCATAAGGTTTGCGAATTATAGCCGTGTCGCAATCCATTGCTAATGCATTAATGGCATTATTTGGCACTTCTGAATGTATATTACATACCTATTGCATTTCCTCATTTCTTCGCAAAATATCCCAACAAACAAATTGATATTATTTATTGTTATTTTAACGTTATTTTGACATTAAAGACGCTAAAAATACATTAAAATGATGACAAATAACGTCAGTTTGTTTGCTGATAGTAGAATAAGAATTTATTGCAAATATTACATTGCAGATATTTATTGCAAACATACATATACAATATACGTTATATTTTAATTTATAAGACGAAAAAAAATTGAAGTTAATTAATTTTTTGGTTGATAAATGCATTATTTATTATTTATGGATCAAAAAAATCAATCATTAGTTTTTTGATTTTTTATCGTCTTATAAATTAAAGTATAACTGCTTGAAAGAATAATATGTTACACTTTTTAATCGCCTAGTAAAGTGAAAAAAAATATATTTACTGTAGAAAATAATAATCACATTAAAATCATTAATAAATTTAGATATTAGGTATTAAATATTAATTAATAACATTTAAGAGTACTGAGATAGGATTCTCTGCGTACGAATCGAACTGGTTTAATGTGCCAGGAAAGGAAGCTAGAAATCTTTTACTTATAATACATAGATCAACAGTACCTCTTTGCTTAACTGCTGGGAAATTCAGTACATTTTCTTTACAGATGTTCAGCAAGGTAAAAATATTGTATAAATAATTATTATTTTATAAATAATTATATTGTAAGTTATTTTCCAATATGTTATCTGCAATATCATAGAAAAAAATCGTGATTAATTCAGGAATTGATTTATTAATTGATCGATCAATCGATCAATCAATCAATCAATCGATTAATCTATTCACCCATTCATATATAAATCAATCACGATATTTTCCTGATATTATCGATTACAAATATTGCAAAGAATTGATTGAGTAATCATTGAACTGATTGATTTATTAATCAATAAAATGATTCATTCATTGATTCTATAGGTTAGTTTTACAAATGTGTATAAATATGTTGTGTAAGTATGTTGAATTTTCTGTGAAATTTTATTTCAGATTGTAAAAACTTCACTCGGTTATCTTTCAGTATTACTTACGGTAACTGAACGGAAAGAATAATTCATGATTGCTGTAATTATGATAATTGTTGTACAGTTGTATTGTTATTGTTAAAGAATATAGAATCAATTTGCAACACTCAGAATTTTACTTCTATTTTTAATATGTAACAAATTGTCTGCATCATATTTTATAAGTGTACTTAAAAGAATCGACAAACATTTTTAGATTTTAAAACAAGACTTAAATATCTTTTATTTTGGTATATCTTTTATTAACAAATAAATATTTAAAAAAGGTTAATTATTAGACTTAATTGAATAAAATAATAGTAAGAGATCAAAAGAACTAAGAGTCACCGTTAGATCTTAATTGCTAATATTTAATGCCCTAAATATTATTAATATGTTAAATATAAAACATTTAACATATTAATAATATTTAAAATGTTATATTTCACAAGACTTTTAGTTCTTACCTCTTACAAATAAATATTTCTTGAGAAAAAAAAAGATAAATTTTTGTGAAAATGTTTGTAATAGACAAATATATATATATAGATCAATTACCTTATATCTATAATAATTCATGCGTCAGAAATAATATGATATCGAAAATATATTTAATGTTATTTTTAACATCAATCGATAGTTAAATATATTGACCATGAGAGTCTTACATATTCTTCATTGCCATTTGTTTGCAAACTGTTACGACAGAGGGAACCTTTGCATGCAAGCGATTTATTCTCAATATTAATGTATATACTATTTTATTTAAAATTGTAATTACTATTTTAAGATCATAAAAATATGAATAAAAATATGTAAACAGTTCGAAAACTTATGTGAATTCCAACATAATTTTTTGAATTATTAATACAAGTGCAAAAATATAAAACAGTTTAATTTTATAAAATTTATTATATTTAAATGTAATGTAGAAAGATAATAAACATTACTACTTATATTTTTAACATTTGTATTTGCATGCAGCGTTTCTAATATGTCAATGTAATTTTTTTTCCTTTCTAATATCAAATACATAAATCAAAATGAAATAAATTTTATGAAATATCATATAAATACAGAAAAGAGAAAAAATTTTATTCTTGTCATTACTTTATCTTTGTCTATTAAAACAGACTTGCATTATGCGGATAGAATCGCAAATTATATCAGTATTTCTTTAGAGAACATCTCTTCCATGACCTTAACCTTGATATATGTTATAGAGGTGATCAACTTTTCCTTATTAAATTAATCGGCGGTCTCTTATAGTTTTCGAGATATATTTACATGAAATTCATTTTCAAAATTTCATTATTTTCTGCATATACCGCAGGATTTTCTACGCAAAACGATTCTCATCCCATCTCCCGCTCCTCCCTACTTAGGGACGCACGACTTCCACACGAAGCGACTTCCACCCCACCTCCTCCCCTGATTAAGGATGCACGACTTCCACGCAAAGCGAGTTTCACCCCACTTCCCCCTGCTTCAAGGGCGTCCGACTCATTTCTCCCTTAACAGAAAGGAGTCATTTAGTGAAGTAAAGATCTAAATATCTTAGAAACTATAAGAGACCGCTAATTAATTTATAAGGAAAATTATAAGGTTAATCAGTACACCTTTATAACATATGTTAAGATCAAAGTCATCGAAGAGGTCCCCTAATGTAAAGGTTTATCTTTTTCTTATTCCCTAAATTCTTTGGAGTAGAATCCCATTCTAAAAAATGAAAATTGAGGCCAGTCTTTAAAAAGATTGTTTTCGATTGATTCGATTTTCGATTTTTAAGAGTGGGATTTTACTCTTTAAATTGAGATTTTTCGAAGAATTTCAGAGAATATGTATACGGCAACTATTTACACAGCAGTGAACACTTTTATTGTCACCCTAGTACTTCACATGTACCCACAAGAAGCACACAATGCCTATGTATAAAGCATTTAAAAAGCGCTAAAAAGTGTATATAAGTATTTTTTAGCGCTTTGCAGGCTCTGCTGTGATACTTGGGTAATCACATGGAAAAAATGAATTTTGCTGAAGAATCTAAAAATTTAGCAAGATATACAATAATAGGCTAAAAATAATTTATTGAGCTCTCAAAATAATTACGAAGGAAACTCAGTATTTATTAATATAATAAATAATATTGCAAAAAGTTTTGACATTCTAGCAATCAGTTTTAGCGTCTTACCCTAGACAACAAAGTTCAAAATCAAGATGTAAAATGTCTTGAAAATAATATGTCTTTTAGACATCTTTAAGACATCTTTTAAAATATGTCTTTAAGACTCAATCTCACCAATGTTTAAGAGAGGCTTAAAACTCTAGCTTACTTTTTCTCTTTAAAGTCGAGAGAATAGAAAAGATAGAGAGCTTCGCTTAAAGTCAAAGTAACGTTGATACAATCAGGCTTAAGACCTCTTATGTCTCGTTTTTGGATAACACATGCGTGACATAATTATTTTGATAGGCCGATAAAATTATTTTCAGATCTGTATATCTAGCTAAATTTTTAGATACTTTTTCGAAATAGTTTCTTTCATGTAGTTTTTGAATCTACGTCGGAAACTGACAAATCTGTGCGTCTGTAAAGAAGCGGAATTTCAGACGAAGTGCGAAAATATCGTGAGAATGCATGAATACTTCAACAGGTGAGATCAGTAAAGCAAGAAGTAACACAGAAAGCTCGAAATGAACGATTATTACGCATTACTAAGAGATTACTTAAAATTTTCAACAAATAATTATCCTATTTCTGATATTCTGTTTAAGCAAGTGAGCGATAATCAGTTATTTCAAAAGATTTTAAAAATGTTATAAAAATATAAATCTCGAAAAATAAAAACGTAATTTATAAAAAGAATATTACGCTTGTCTTGACAGTATTGTTTTCTATAAGATTTCCAGAAACGATCGAAGATTCTTTCATAATTCAACATAATATATTCTGAGACAAATGCTGAGATGCTTGTTACAACTTTATTTTCAGTATTTACAAGCGTTCGTGTAAGCTACGAAAAAAAGAGAGATATAATCCGTAAAAATAAAAAAAAAGAGAAAAAGGGAAATAAATCGGAATTATCGACTTCTCATTTGAAGTCAATTATATTAGAAAGGATAAAGTATTCATCACCAAATTCGTTTTCCTGTAATTTACATGATTTACATATTGCTACAATTATATGTGTACTGTTAACATCGGCGAAAAACTACTTGTCAAGGTAATACAGTGAACGTATCTTATTGATTGATATATTGCCACAAATCCCGATATTTTAATATATTAATACTATATTGCCAAAAGCATATATGTATTTGGGATTACATTTTCAAGAATAAGATTTAATTTTTAGATAAATATATAAACGTTGGTAATTATTGACAAAATCCCAATATTTTAATATAACAATACTATGTTGCCGAAATTATATATATTATGTATTATATAATACATATGTATATATCTTGGATTATATTTTCAAAAACAAGATTAAATTTTCATGCAAATATAAATATCAATAACTTATTAATTTACTTATTGATCTAAATCCCAATATTTTGATATATATTGCCGAAACTGTATCATATTACCACAAGAACAAGATTAAATTTTGAGACAAATATAAATACTGTCCACATAGAGTTCAAAAGACACAGAGAATTCAAAAAGACTTCAGTCGTATGTCATAAATTTGGAGTTCATTTTCAAGTACAAAAAGAAATTTTTTAGGACTTTTTAAAAAAAGAATTCTTTTTGCATCTGAAAGCAAACTCAAAATTAATGACATACAATAAATTAAATTCTTTCTGAATTGTTTTTTAATTCTCTGTGCTATATGGGTGATAATTTATTGATCTATTTATTGACTTAAATCCTGATAGTCGTAATGTCTCGATATATTACCAAAACTACGTATATTAGATCATAATTCCAAGCACAAGATTAAATTTCCAATTAAATATGAATTCTAATAGTTTATTGATTAATTTATTGACGAAAATCCTATATTCCGATATATCGATGCCATTCGACATATAGTTGAAATTAGGTATATTTTGAATTATATTTCTAAGGACAAGATTCAATTTGCAAACAAACATGAAATTTATTTTATATCAGTGAATATTATTATCTCAATTAACCAACAAAATATATTGTTAGTTTAATAGACGAATTAGACATTAAAATTCTTTAGTGCTAAACAGTATCCTAGAAAGCAAACCTATTTGCTTTGTTACGTTGATGATTATGTATTTCAAAATTGTGTAGTCATTAACTATGGTACACGCTTTCGTGTTAAGGCAATCTGCATGACGCCTTGAGTGTTAATAAGCGAGACCAAAATACGTGTTTTTTTGATATAATATTTTTGTTTCTTCTTTACAGTAATTTTCTTTTTAGATAGTAATTAATTAATTATTTTCCTTCTTTCTCAAATGTATTAAAAAATCATTCAGAAAGATAAAATCAATCTATGTCATAGTGTTATATAACAGATCAAGGATGTAATTCTTTTCAAAATGCCATATTATAGACTTCGAAGATCTTTTTACGCTAAATATAATGCTATTAACAGAATTTTCATGTCAGGTTTTTGAGTAAATTGAGATAAGATGACATTTTAATACTTTTTACTGCAAAACTCATTAATAAAATAAAATTTACGATACCTAAATTAAAAAAAATTTATTTGAAAAGTCTTAAATTACTTTTTTAGGTACTATATAAAATTTATTTAAAAATTTATTCAAAATCCTGATGTGTTACTCAAATTCTATCAATGCCATCGTTCAGCGAAAAAATATTCGAAATATATACTATAGCACTTTGGAGAGAATTTGATGTTTGCGTTACAGAGCTTCTGATTGCAGTTTCATATTTAGTGCTATCGTATCCTCATTTTGTACTTAGTTACAGTTCTATGACTCATGTTTCCCTTGGAATCCTTCGAATCTGACATTCCAGAGTACGAAAATAACATACACGGCATATGACTGCGGTTGCTACAACTTGTCAGCGTGAAACGAGATCGCTAATGATCATCATGTGTCGAGTTCGATCGCCATTACACATCATCACCGGCCATTATATTTTTCCAACCGGAAATTCTATCTAACAAGGTACGAAATCATAAAATATCATAATCGAATCGATTTTATTTCTTGATTTCTTTGAATCTTTGAATAAACTAAATCAATCAAATTCAATCAATGAAATTAATTTTAGATTTATATATTACATGTGTGAAATATATTTAATTATTTAATCTCATATTTATATATTCTTCTACATATAAACGCATGCATATCTTTAATTTGTATTATAAAAAAATTTTTAATGTTTTATTCTGAAAAAATGAAAAAATAGCTTTTAGTCTAATAGTTTTTCTAACGAAAAATATACAATTATATTGATCACTTTATGAATAATTTGAAAAAAATTGAGCATTATGAATAATTTAAAAAAATTTTAACGGAAAATCGATATAGATTTTTAGGTTCTAAAGAGATCAATGATTTATGTACATGTTCTGTACTGTATATATCTACGCAATGAATAGTTCTAAATGAAGATGAAACAGTAATTCGTAAGTGATGCTTGTTAATAAAATTATATTATTTATGACAAAAAGAACATTTTTATTTATATAAAAATATAAATACTGATAAAAATTATTATAAACTTCTAATTCTATTTATGCAAAAATTGCAATTCATTTTGTCATTTCAATGTACAAATAGAAAAAATCGTTCATAAAATAGTCGAATAATTATTATCAATCAAATTATGCGTAAATATGTAGTACGAACTAAAATATTTCCTCATTGTTTTATCGCTCCAATAATTTTCAATTTTTACAAAGAGCTATAGGTAAAAGAATTTAATTATAACGTTTATAGATGTATTTTAACATGCTAATATTATTTTGTTCAATTGTATATTGTTGTACCTATATACAATATCATCTCATTGCATTATATTTGTGTTTTACGATCCGCGGAATTTGGATTTTTATTCTATTCTGGTATTGGAAATCTATCGATCGATCGAAGCAATATTACTTCATATTAAAGCATATTATTGCATATAAAAAAAGCGATTCCTCAAAACGTAATATGCAAATTCTGTAATTTCTGCACGTGCGCAGAGACGACCGCAATGAATAAGAGATGTAGGAGGAGGTGCATTATACGGAAAGGAAGATATATGAGAGGACGTGACGAAACGAAAATAGCAGGGCACGGCGGCGACTATTAATGGGCTTCGCAGGAGCTCGGATCTCACATTAAGTATGCAGCGAAAACTTTATTTTCCCTCAACATTTTCCTCGTTTTTTTGCCGGCTTGTTTTTCCGTTCCGACTGTCCGTCTAGGGCGGGTGCATATTTGAGCAACTTGATCCGCTACAGACGAATTACTCACGTAAAGCGCACACTGCTGATGCATATTTAACGAAAGAGTCTATAGACCCTGTGATTACGCCCAACAGTTCATGTTATAAGTTCGTAAATTAAGTATTCTGTCTACGAGAAAAATGATAGTTCTCTGGGAGTGTTTCGAGAATATAACAAAACAGAGTTCTGATATACGAAACTCGCAAATTCTACTGTCGCAAATATTCGATCGATAATTCGCAGTTCCAACCTAGACGATCCACGGAGATGATCGCTCCGTCGCTTTTCCTATCATTTTGCTCATTGTTCTATATTACTGAAATTTTTTTCCGTGAAAATATTAAAGTTTATGAGTAGTACTTCTCACTTTCAATACTTTGAACAAATATTTTAACATTTTACATTCGTAATAATGATGTTTTGCAAGAGTTGTAAATATTTTTTTTCAAGAAGCAGTAATGGCGCGAATTTTCACTCCAAGAATCAAATATCCGATTGCCTGGCAAGTGCTAATAATATTAATTCTATCAAAAAATGCAACAAAGGGACCATTAAAATGATCAATTGGTCGAAAGAATTCACACGAGTGCATCGTTTAATTCTATCCGTTGGGTATTTTATTCGAGTAAAAGTTTACAAGTGACGTGCTTTCACCACTTATTTCCGTCAACCCACGAGGAAAGTGCACGCCGAGTGCGGCGAAGAGCTGAAGAGTGACTAATAAGTGTCATTAACGATTGCGTGGTTTACCGTCACAATGGAGAAAATCAGAAGATGACAGTTACTAACTGCAAGCGCAGATAGACGCGGATAAAACGACTTCACGCTTTACCGGGAGAGCAATGTGCGCGTCTAATATAAAAGTACACTTCCATGCAGATCGCGACGTTATTTCGATTTTAAAAGTTTGAGTTAAAGGTTTAGTTTAACATTTCAATAGTACTTTGACTTGATTGACAAAGCATATATTTCGAGGATCCAAGATATTAGTCAATTCCAAATATAACTAACCTGAGATATATTTGAGCGAGAGAACAAAGAAATTCTACACTTCTCCAGAATAAATTTAAAATAATAGTAGCAATTTAAGTGATAATTAAGATTTACGATTATCTACTGAAAACGTCTTGTTAATTACAACGTATATTATCAAGAAAGATGATAATTAACGCGAGAGTATTTGTGTTGATCGCACTGGTAACCTACGGTGTATGCGCTCATACAGTCGACATTCGAGAGCCTTACAAAAGAACTAATGATAAAAAATATACTGGGTCTATGCTGGCTGAGATCGCAAAGGAATTAGTGCAAAGATCAACGACCAGCAGTCAGGTAATAAAAATTATGCATTATTATATAAGAAATTACAAAAATATGATTATCCAAGCAGAACAACAAGTCATGATAACATCAAAATGACATTAAAATGAATCAGAAATTATTAAAAAATGACTTTTAATGATCATTTTAGAGTCATTTTAACATCATAATGACTTGTTGTTCTGCTTAGGTAGCTCCTGACAATTAAATGTGTAAAGAACAAATGGAAAATAATGTTTTTTCAATATCAATGTCAAAAAAATTTAAATTAAATAAGTACTTTATTAAACTCTAAAGACCCAGTAAACGTCAGTAGTAATTAGATCAATATCATAATCGTTTTTATTCAATATAAATTATGCTTTATAGTTGTTAGCTAATATTATATTTAGATGAGGTATAGTATAATAAAATATATTATCTAAATGACTTAAAATGGATTTTACTTATATATTATTTATTTCAAAATCAAGTTATATCTCACGAGAACATTTAACGATAAACTAGAATTAAATTAAAACATAATTGTGATATTACAGGTGCTGACTTTAAATCTCTCGAATTTGCTATTACTTTTGGTGCTTAAAGCAGTTGTGTTCGGCGCTGGCTACATAGGACATGGTTACAAAGGACGCGAATTAGAAGATGGTAATTTCGAAATGCATATGTATAAATCGTTAATATTTATTTGAATAAACTTTTCGTTAATAGTAATTGCAACAATTACTACATTGCATGCAATACTAATATTATATGTTACCGCGGTTCTTTGGAATAAAAGCTCGGCGAATATGCATAACAAAATTCAAAATTATAATCACAATTGTTTCTAATTATAACTTTATATTAATTTCAGAAAATATTGTATCGGAGGGTGAGCTTGCATTAGCGCTTGGATATCTGATCGGTGATACCTGTTTGTACAGAGCAGCTTGCGAGGAGCCACATATTGCGAGAGAATATCTCGGCGCAGCAGAAATGCTCTTACAAACAATGAAGTTAATGCCGCAGTATGTATACAAAATATTAAAGAAAAATTATAAAAAATTATTAATTAAATATTGTGTATGGTATATAAAAAGAAGTACTCGGTACTTTTATGCTTTTCAAAAACATCTTTACTATTAATCACTATTGATAAACATAAGAAACACTTAAACACTTTTTAAGGAGAGAACCTTTAAATACCGATTTTACATCAAAAAATTAAAAAGATGTCTTTTTAACAAATTTTTTATGAGAACTATTAATTTTACTTAAACAGTATTTTAACCAATGTTTTATATGTATATTAGTTGCATATAAAATTTTTAATTAAAAGTATTAACAAATAAAGCCAATACAACTATTACAACTAATAATAGCGGTTTATAGTAACCATCATAGCTTTTATACAGTTTGTTTAAAACCCAATAAGTTTTTGAAATATATTAATAAATCTTGTCCTTGTCGTAGGCAATTTTAGACATTCTCAATTTTGACATAATGACAAATTTCAGAATTTAAAGATGCAATTTTTCATAAAAAATTGTTTGTTCTTTGATTATATAAAGAAAAACTATGATTCTAAAAAAATTCCTGCGACAAAGACTATTAATATATTTTTCAGGAACTTTTTAGATTTTTTATTTCAAATAAACTATACGAAAGCTACGATGGCTATCGTAAACTTATTACTATTAGGGCCAATATCAGTATCAGTGTTATTTGCTAATATTTTTTATTAAAAGTTTTATATAACATTCACTAATATAAGTGTATAAGATATTGATCAAAACCTATTTAAATAAAGTTAATATTATAAATAATTTTCAAAAAAAAATTTGTAAAAATAGACATCTTTTTCATTTTTTTGAGTGTATGCTTCCCCCACCTCTCTTAAATTAGAAATTATTTAAAATTAAATATTTTGAAGAAAAAATATCATATTCATGGAAAATCAAATAGAAAATAATGCACAACATTGCTGTGAAAATAAAGTAGCGAATATTTTGTATGTAAAATTTGCATTTTCGCAGAAGCTTACCTGCAGAATCCAATTATAAGAAGACGATCGCAGAATTCCGGAAGGCGATTGAGTATGGCAATATCGAGGAATGTCCACCAGAATACAGCTGCAAAAAAGAGAACTTAAATAATTTCTTACAAAGTGAAAAACGATAATGTTACTTATAAATATTTATCAAACATTCCATAATTTTTATTTTCTTAGATAAGCTATACAAATCGCATAATAAAATAATATTTTATATAAACATATTTTTTAGAATTATTAATCTTTTGCAAAAATTATTTCTTTTTATTCCCACAATTGGCATTATTATACTTGTTTGATGATGGAATAACTTACAAAAAATGGTAAAAACATTATCATTTATTAATAAGAAAATAAAGATTATTTTTAGAGTTATAAATTACATTTTACAGCTTTGATTTTATACAGAGAAAAAATATAAAATTAAAAAAATTATTATACAATCTTTCGTGTATCTTATATGCGCTATTATCAAGTATCTATACAAAAAACAATTTTTATTTGATAACATCTTTTATAAATTTCTAAAAAATATGTTAAGAAAATCATTTA